AGAAAGTAAGTTCCCTATTCCATTTAAGGTTCCCCTTCAAAGTCTGTCATACAGGCAAGGCAGAAAACGGAACATTTGCATACCCTAAACAATATCCTAATCTGAATGTCAAAAAAAAAAATAGCAGCAGGAATTGGTTCATTCTATTTGCAGCTCAAAAATGGAAAGCATCTTATTTTCTAAACATCTTTGAAATCCCTGCCATTCAGAAGCCTGGACTCAAACAACATTTTTAATCCAAAGATTCAACAATAACTGCTGTTCAGATTAAAAAACAAAGAAAACCCCAATAAAATGTGTGATCTTTGTTACCATGTTATTTGCAATCGACCTATGGGGGAAGAAAAGGAAAACAGATCAAATAACCACCATAGTGAGATATTGGTTTAATTGTTTTCTTTCTATTGTGAACTGAGGCTCAGAGAACTGACGTGCCTTGAAAATTCCCCTCCCAATACAGCAAGGTTTTCTTGATAGCACAGGTGGTTAAGAAGTGGGCTGCTAACTGCAAGGTAGGGACCTCAAAACCCCCAGCCACTCCCCAGGAGAAAGACGAGGTTCTCTGCCTTGGTACAGGTGTACTGTCTCTGAAAACCTAAGGAGCACACTCAGGGCTCCGCGAGTTTGACTCTGTGCCATGGCCGGGTGAGTGGGTAACATTCATAGGTAACCCCACTAACCCATTTCCCTCAAGTCAATTTCAACTCACAGTGACCCTGAAGGACAGAGTAGAACTGCCCGCACAGGGGTTCTTCGTCTATCCATATTTTGGGAAGCAGACTAACATGACTTTCTCCTGTGGAATGAGGAGCTGATGATACCAGTGAGCTTGTGGTTGGCAGCCAAGCACTGAGCCACTACAACAAAAGGTGGAAAATAATGGGCCACATACTACATCTTCTATTGGGTATGATAAGGGCTAAGTTGCTGTTAAAATATTATGGAAACTTAGAGAAAAGAAAGGTTGATTTTCCTCTGACGTAACAGTTCGCAAAGGTGAGCAAGAGGCTTTGAGTGATTAGATCCTATACTCCATGCGGTCATTCAGGGATCCAGTCTGATAAAGCAATATAGTTGACTTCAATGTATTGCTTCCATCTGGGTCCAAGGCCAGAATTCCAGTTGTTGTCATTTCCCAGACCAGTAAAAGCAGAAGTAAAAAGTTATGTGGTTACAGTTATGTGATATTCTCTTGTTTTCCTTTGACTCTGTCGTTGCAAATGTCAGGTATTCTCACAGCTCTTGCACCCAAACTCAGCTGCATAGCCATCCATCAGCAAGAAAGTATGGGAAATGTCTGTAGCTATACTGGAAGACTTGCTTGAGAGAAGGAGTTTAAGAGAGGTTTTAGGGAAAAGTGAGGGATATGAATTGGTGAAGAGAAATAAGTAAATCATTCTTGGTAAGAAGCATGGTAGCAATGATATGATTTTTTTGTTCTTTGATGCCTGATAACTGATCCCTTCGGCACCTTGTGATCACACAGGCTGGTGTGCTTCTTCCATGTGGGCTTTGTTACTTCTGAGCTAGATGGCCATTTGTTTACCTTCAAGTCTTTAAGATCTCATACGCTATATCTTTTGATAGCCGGGCACCATCAGCTTTCTTCACCACATTTGCTTATGTACCCACTTTGTCTTCAGCGATTGTGTCAGAAAGGTGAGCATCATGGAATGCCAGTTTAATAGAACAAAGTATTCTTGGATTGAGGAAGTACTTGACTGGAGGCCAAATGCCCATCTGCTACCTTAATACTAAACCTATACATATATGCATATAGATCTATTTTCCCATCCTCAAAAATCATATCATTGTGTGCTCACCTCCCAGATATGATCACTGAAGACAAATGGGTGCATAAGCAAATGTGATGAAGAAAGCTGATGGTGTCGGCTATCAAAGGTATAGAATCTGGGGTCTTAAAGACTTGAAGGTAAATAAGCAGCCATGTAGTTCAGAAGCAACAACACCCACAGGGAAGAAGCATACCAGCCTGTGTGATCACAAGGTGTAGAAGGGATCAGTTATCAGGCATCAAAGAGCAAAAAATCATATCATTGTGAATGAGGGGGAGTGCAGAATGGAGGCCTAAAGCCCATCTGTAGGCAACTGGACATCCCCTTACAGAGGGGTTGCGGAGAGGAGACCAGCCAGTCAGGGTGCAGTGTAGCACCGATGAAACATACAACTTTCCTCTAGTTCCTAAATGCTTCCTCCCCCCATTTCACTATCTTGATCCCAATTCCTCCTTACAAATCTGGCTAGACAAGAGGATATACACTGGTATAAATTGGAACTGGAAATACAGGAATCCAGGACAGATGATCCCTTCAGGACCAGTGCTGAGAGTGGCAATACTGGGAGGGTGGAGGGAGGATGGAGTGGAAAGGGGAAACCGATTACAAGGATCTACATATAACCTCCTCCCCGGGGCTGGAAAAGTGGGTGAAGGGAGATGTTGGACAGTATAAGATATGACAAAATAATAATTTATAAATTATCAAGGGTTCATGAAGGAGTGGGGAGCAGGGGAAATGAGGAGCTAATGCCAAAGGCTTAAGTGGGGAGCAAATGTTTTGAGAATGATGAGGGCAACAAATGTATAAATGTGCTTTATACAATTGATGTATATATGGATTGTGATAAGAGTTGTATTAGCCCTCAATAAAATGATATAAAATAAAAGCACACAAAAAAAGCATGGTAGCAAGAATTTATAAGGAAGAGTTTACAAAGTGTCTTTGGAGAGGTGATTCTGACAGACATGTTTTAGACAGAATATTTATTAAATGTTAGGTTGGATATTTTGATATACTTTTAAAATCAGACCAAAAGGATTTGAGTCTCAGTTACACACTTTGTAGTTTGTAATCACAAGCAATTTGCTTACCCTTTCAAAGGCTCCATACTCTCCACTCATGATAAGGGATGATAATATTGCCTCTTAGAGGTTATGAAAATAATATGAGACCTCTATGTGAAACAGTTCCCAAAGAGCCTGGTACTTTGTAAGCACTTAATACATGTTGGTAGCTATGATTTTTACTATTATCAGCATCATGATTATCGGTGATTTAGATGAGAAAGAAATTCTTCATTAACTGCTCTTGCAGTGATCAGACCAAACAGGTAATACGAAGTGATACATATCTCGTGTGGTAATGACTACAGAAAGGAAGACGTCAACCCGGCAAACATTGCAAAGAGAAATGCAGCTGTGACTCAGTACTTGGCGTTGGCATGGACAGTGGGATGAGGGGAAAGAAGTGAACAAGGTGGTTGAAATGAAAATATCTATGAAACTTATCACCCTTTTATTAAAGTACTCAAAACTCAAACTCACTGTCACTCCAACTGGCAGAGTGACCCCGAGTGTGGTTCCAAACAGCCGGCCTTGCAGGTAGCAGCCCAACACTTCACCCATTATCCCACTAGGTTCCTGGACTTTTAACATCTACCTCCTGTTTTCAGGAAATTTAAAACAAAGAAGCTATGAAGAATAAAATGAAAACCCCTCGTACTTCTACCACCCAAAGAAATACTTATTTTTCTAATAATGCTTTTCTCCCTGTATACATAAGGAGGGAATACACATGCAATGAATATTTTTACGTTTTGTTTTTTAAGGAAAAACAAATTGTCATTCATTGAACTGCTAAGTGCATCTAGTAAACAAAACAGACTACAATTCATGTGTGTAGAGTTTCCCACCCCTGTCCATTGTTTGTTGCAAGTCACGAAAGGATTTACTCCTTTGGAGGGATTACGCAGCTTTTCTTGAATCTGTTGAAAGCTCCGGACAAATTCGCATCAGTGCATATACAAGAATGTTTGCAGAATTGCAGGGGGGTCATAGACAGTTTTAAGTCCATTTAGGCTTCTTGAGGATCCTAGACCCCAAATTGAACATCTCTCCACTACGCTGTACTTAGACTAATATTTATCACCCTTCCAAGGAGCAGGCAGTTGGGTCATCTTTAATGAAGTTGTTGGCCTTTCTTCCCTCCTACTCTGATAGAGCCGGCAGCCCTGGCGGCACCAGGCTAAATGCAAACTCATGAATCAAAAACAAAATGACTGGATTGATAGATGCTGTTAGGTTTTGACAACCTAGAAATAATCTTGGCTAAATCCTTTGGAGAGGTCTTAAAGGGGAAGATTGGATTTTGTGGACTCAAAGAATGTGTCATGATTTGGCTTAATCTAAACCATTTTTATTCCTCTTTTCTTGTGCTTGGTCTATTATCTATCCGCGGAATTTGCACAGTAAGACCATTGGGAAGACCTTATGTCTAATTATTTGCTGTGCTATGTGGAGTGGAGTGCAGACAATCAATAAACAATCAATACTAATTGTAGCCTGCCTCAGAGACAGGAGGTAGAAGCTTCAGCTGGCTTAGGTACATGGTATTTTCATTAATTTTCTTTTACTAGTTTTGTTTTTCTCTTTCTGCAATTTAAAGCCCAAGTGCAAAGATTAAATGGAAAGCTTTCTTTGCTTATGAGACAAGCAGGCATTGCTTTTGACAGAGGGAACATCTAATCCCAGGTGTTTCGTCTTTGTTAATGAGAGAAGTGTCTGTGTTTGCTTTAGTTTGAACATTCAGAGAAGGGGACAGGGCTATTTGCACGGTTAAATGACTGTGAGTCTTTCCTTTGGAAAGTAGTATTCCCCTGATGTCAATTACGTTTAGACAGACATCTGGATGTATATCAGAAGCGCATACAGATGTCACCTCTTTTCTGTGTTACAGCTGTAGATGCGATGGTGACTTGACTTTGATTTGAGTAAACATACAATGTCTAATATTTCAAGTCAAGAGTTCACTGCAGGAAGGAGTTTAGACTGACATTTATTAAAGAGAACGTTTTTGTGGACCAGACGCAGAGCCATCCCTAAAGATCCAGACACTGGTGAAGTAAACAAAATCCTAGTTACACATTATCTTAACAAATAGCGAAGTTCCATCGTGACATTTTTCTACTCCTCCTACTTACAGAAGCTGGCTCCGAAGATATTGACATTCTTCCCAATGGCCTGGCCTTCTTCAGTGTGGTGAGTCTCTTTGTTTACACACCTCCGCAGAGCGGGCAGGTACGCAGGGCTGGTGCAGGCCCGCAGAGCAGCAACTTCTTTTCAGAATCTCAACACTTCATAAAATGTGTCCTGGTTACAAAAGATAGGGCTGGTGGGATCTTGGAAGAATTCCTCAAGCTTATCCAAACCTAGAGCTGGAAAGTGTTTGCTGCTTGATTTATTGCTCTTTATGCCCTTTCTGCATTACACTAAAATATTCCTGCCCACTCAATGTGTTAAAAGAATGCCTCATTCCAAAGATAGACTGGCCTTATGGTGGATCTTAGGTACTAACATTACCCTCTTTAAAATACAATAGCCACTTTTCCGCTCATGAGAAATCCAAATAAAAGCATGTCCTCTTGCTGTCTTTGCTTTGAAACAATATGCAGGCTTCTCCGACCGTAGGAAACTTCAGCATCCCTCTGACACATTTCCTAAATTGAAATGGCATAAAGTGAAAAAAGATTACCATTAATTTATGTGGGAAAAATCTTTTTGAGCATTTCCAGATCTCCAAAACATATTAAATAACACATAAAACTTAACAATACTGCTAACATGTAGTGTTCATGGGCAGCTCTGAGCTCTGAAGGTCTGATGCTAAGACGCTCAGTGTAGTTCCCAGGGAAGGCGTTTTGACAACACCTCTCTGGCTTCTCAGAGCTGGGTCTATGCTTCGTCTTTAAAGAGTTACTGCCAAACAAACTCTGACTACAAGTTTCCCTTTTTGTCCTCTATTTTCCGTTTTCAGTAAAAGTGAAAATGTTGGTCGGAGTTCTTTCTGTTGTTGAAAGCAGGAACTGATATAGGTCTTTTGTAAAATCACGGTGATCTAAAGTGACCTTTTAAGAAGTGGGAGATAGCGCTCCCGAACCGAGACATGACGTTGTTTTGTCGTTTGCTTTTCCCTTTGATTTCTTTTCTCCTCTCTGAATAGCCGATCGTAAGTGGAAAGTCTTTGACTGAGTATATTTGTACCTTCACTTCTGTCTTCAGTCTCATAAGCTGAAAAAGAATGTGCTGTTTGGACGCACAATGAAACTACTTTTAAATTGATTGCCCTTGGTCGTTCTGGCCGACCCCCACAGCTGTGCTGAATGAAAACCCATAAAGGTGGGTGATGAGGAGCTTCTGACCACCTCCTTTCTCGAGAAAAGTAAATGTCCGCTTCTGAAGGCACGGCGCCCTGGAATGAGTCTTTTCCTCCCGGTCACCGTTGTGTTCGGCTTTGCAACTCTGAAGGGATGTGAAGAAGTTCGAGATTCTATAGAAGAGAGTTGTGGCACGAATAAAATCTTTGTCGGACTGGAGAGAAAGGAGAGATACTGCATCTTCGAAGAGAATGAGGGAACTCTTCAGTCTCCTCTGGTTATTACATAAAGACAGACTTGCTGCTTCTTACCACTGAGACGAAAAAGAGACACTATGAAGGTTAGCAGAAACAGGAGGGTTTAGGTGTAAGGAAACACTCACACACACTACAGTGATGAGAGAAACGTTTTCTTTACCTACACAGGCGGAACCAAGTGATGGAGTTGCACTCCGGGCCTGTGCTCAGGCTTGTGTCTAAGGTGGGAAACACTGGGCCTCCGGTGAAACGTGCCCTTCAACAGAGATGCAAAAGGCCTGAATAAAGTAGACGACAGTTGCTTTTTTTTTCTTTCAAGATAGTGTTTGTTAAGACTTGTGTAATCCAGGATTCTTCCCCCTAAGGAATGAATCAGACGTAGGAAGGGTGCGATCTCTAAGCCCGGAACTCTCCAGCCATTGTATTCATTTATTTAGTTTTAAATGAAATTCTACCGTGGTTTTGGTGGAAGTTTACCGAGTGAATTCTGTTCCTGTTTCCCAGCGTGACATCTTGTTCGGTGATCCTGGTCACATGGTCAACATCCCCTGAGCGTGTTCTGGCCTTTCCCTGTCCAGTGCTTCGTTCTCCTCAGCCCTTACCCTCTGGTCTTTTCTTTAGAGGCCATGCTGACCTTTGGGGCTCCCCTAGATGGCTTTTTAGAGTGGTACCACACTGATGGGGCCCAAACTCACTGCCAGGGAGTCGAATCCATTTGTAGGCCATGCTGCTATCTCTCTGAAGGCTTGGCGAGTGACTCAGGGTGACAGCATCAGGGCGTCCTCTCGGCTCAACTCCTCCAGCATGTCTGGACATTCTGTGCTTGTCTCCTCGTCTAACCCAAACCCCCCAACCAAACTCATTGTCACTGAGATGATTCCGACTGTGGCGACCCTATCGGACAGCGTGGAATGACAGCTGTGGGTTTGCGGGTCTCTGTACATGTTCATGAAAACAGAAAGCCATGTCTTTCTCGGATGGTGTGACTGCTGGGTTCAAACTGCTAACTTGCACTTGCCGCGTCTGCTACACCTTTTCCACGAGGGCCCGTTTATTGTGGCTCTGATCAAACCTGGTGGTGCCGAGGGCTGAGCATCGTCTAGCTCTCTGGGGTCAGGATAGAGGAGACTGTGGCTCTTGTAGGTTCTGCAGCCACTGTAGCTGAGGGGCCTGTTACAGTGGCAATGAGCTAGAAGTTTTCTCCACCTTTTTCCTGTTGTCTTTCCTTGTTTATATAACTTTTGCATATGTAAACATGTTTTCATTTTAACACTGCTTCTCATTGACTCATCATTATCCTAGCTTTTACCAAAGGGCGCTGGCCTCTGAGTAAAAAGCATGTACGCATGACAGTTACCTGCCTTCGTCCCTGGTGTCTTCGTTCCTCACCCATACTGTTGCATAGTTCAGGGTTTGAGGGTCACCTCAGAACTAACACCACCCTTACAGAGGGATTAGATGACATTGCTTTAGAATATATAAGGGATTTATAGAGCAGGAGACACTCAAATGAAAATGAATAGTTACCACCATTACTGGTAAAGCATTTTATGCATGCAAACATTCTATTGTTTATAGGATATTAAGAAAGAAGAGAGATCATTAGCAGCTAAAACAGCCCTGTCAGAAGACCAATCAGTTCCTACCATATGACATTGTTCTGCGGTTACCCCAAGCCAACAAATACTCCTACAAGAACCATACTGGAAATCCAAGTTAATTAAGACATGGGGTAGATGGGCCTGTTTGTTTCAGAGAAAGCAATTGCACTCCTGTTGGTGGGTAGACCAGATGGAGCGAACTGCCATTGAGGAAAATACTTAACATTGTTATATTGTTCCTAAATGGGAGATAAGCCCAGAGAGAATTGTCCCTAATTACACACTTTTGACCTAGTTTTTAGACAGCCCTTGGTGATCCAGGCCGTGTACTAAACACAACCAGGACTTTGGACTCTCCTTCCCAGGTGCACAACATCCTTTGTAGACACACCAGAAGGATCAGATTTGGAACTCCCACTAAGAGAACTAGACTTTATCTTAAATATACCTGTAGAAGCTTAAAGGAACTGAAACATGAGGGCATACCCCGACCAAAAAATGGATTTATTTTTCAAAGCTATGTATTTTAATTGTTGTACAAAACAACCTTATCACCTTCAAAGTACTCTCCATTGCTCTTAACATATTTGTCAAATTTGTGCTTCCATTCTCAGAAACATTGTTCAAATTCATCTCTTTGGATGGCTAACAGCACCTCCCTCATGTTTTCCTCCACCTTTCCTATGTCCTCAAATCACTGTCCTTTCATGTCCCTCTGCATTCTCAGAAA